GAATGATATATATATGTTCTAAATTTACTTCATTTACAAGTAGAATAATTGTAGTTCGATAAATGACAAGAGCTAGAATTCTGTTCACCTTTTAAGTAAAACTTCAAACTTTGTACTGAGTGAATAAGATTTTCTCTTCAAGCTTTATAAAGTAAAAGACTATAAATACTGGGTAATGAAGTAAGTTCATTTAATTTCGTGTTTACTAATTTTCTAAGATGTCGGTATACAAATGTAGTTTACAATAAACAAATACAATCTAATTCAGTTCGGTGGTGTAAACAGATAATAATACTTACATATCAGAAGGGTTTTTGTGGATATTATACCGGTTTCATGAGTCCCACAATAGGACGAAATGGCCGTCCAGTGCTTTCAGGTCTTCCATGGTGGTCTAGTTCCAATTGAATAATGATCTCAACCATCGAAATAATACTAACGCCTTATTATGCGAATTCAACTTATGGATGAGTACGAAGTGAAAAATAAAGTTTATTATCTGATTGATAAAAGAAAATATGTTTTAAATTGTTATTATTAGAGTTGACAAACAAAACGAAATAATAATCAATCACTCAAAAAACCAATAATAACAAAGTAATCTTAATTATGGTGACAATAATCATAGTTCAAGATTGTTTCGAAAAAAGGTAAGAATTTTCATATCTCAAGTGATTGAGGTTACACGTTTTCTAAATTGATGATACAATTAATGAGATGAATAATAACATAAGAAAGTATATTGCAAGACATAACTAATTAAGTGAAAAAAAGGATGAGCATAAAAATTTTACAAAGGTTAAAGGTGAAAAAAAAACATGAAACGATGAACATGGTCAGAGGTGAACATCAGATTACAAAATAGTATCGTATGAAATTCATCTGGATCTATTTACTTTCAGAATCCTTGACTTATATAAAAGTGATTGTCCTATGTTGGGTTATTTTTATTTCTTCTAATTTGTGTTATTTCAAGTAGTATATATGGGCTAACAGCTGAAAATAAATAAAGATTTCTTCAAGAATATATTTCATATATTATGAGCTGATTAACTTTATTGTTGGATATGTCACTTCAATAATTATTTTCAGTCTACAGTTATTCTATGACTTTAAGTCATTTCTTTTAAATGAAAGTTTAAGGAATATATTCTACTATGGTACAGCGATTAGTATTGAGTTTTTTTTGACTCATTATATATTAATGAAATTTAAGAGATGGTCAATTTCTATTAAAACCTCAATGTTTTCAAGTTTATTATCAAAGTATGTGTTCAGCCTTTAAAAATTATCTTCCAACGAGATTGCTTTTGTAAAAACCCGGGTAAAATCAGTTGTTTAGTTGATTTTGTCCAGTTTTAGATGCAATACCATAAACTTAATGTGTAACTAAGTCGTTTTTATAGTTTGTTATAGTTTGATCCAAGCAATACAACCTATGTTGTAATTCACTCAAGTGTAAATTTTACATTCAAATAAAATGAGTTGGAATGAATAAGCCTTTTGTTCATATGATTTCTGTCATCTTATATGATATATTTACCATGATAGGAAATATTTGTAGCTCAGGTGGATGATTTCGCACGAGTTTTGTTCTCTGAGCTAAATGGTTTGGTCGTGAAGCTTTTATCATTCTTCTAAATGACATCATCATCACACACTTCACTTCTACCAGAATTTTGTGCTGATTATGTCGTTAAGGAAAACAATGAAAACTCCACAACTAAACCATCTAGTTCAGAAAACAAAACTCAATCAAAATATATGTATCATCAATTAGTCTCACAAACATTATTATTCTTTTCATTTTGTTGGCATTGAAATTCTCTGTGTTGTAACAAAAACAAAATATTTTTATGGTCTAACTGATCAAAACTGATACTGCTGTATAATAACCTAATACAAACATACAATTTATAACACTAAGAGATAAAATGACTTAACAAACAAGTGTAATAAAATTACTGGATTGCATATTTACTCCTTTCTAGCACTCCACATGGGTCTAATTAATAATGAGTGAACTTCTTATAAGAGGTAATATTTCCAATTTACTTAAAAGTGCATATTTCCAGGAATAACATTAGTGATTCTGTATGAGTTTTTCAGGAACAATTAATCCTTTCAGGATTAATATAAATGATATTTTATAGTTGCACTAAATGGAATGTCCATAAATCAAAACTTCATTATTAAAATAAACAATATATGTATATGATTACTAACCACTCATTAATTTAAAATTCAGTGACAGACTTAACTGTAGTATTCATTAATTAAAATAAAATGTTTATCGGCCAATACATAGTTAAGTAGATACATGAAAAAAAAGTTAAATATTCCATTAAATGATCCTAAATGATTTCACCGTAGATTAATATGCCTAAGCAACCAAAATGAGTAAGATCGGACAAAAAAATATTCCTTCTCATAAAAATTAATCATAGTTAACACATGATAAGATTGCGAAAACTGGTTCATTTTCAGTGGTAAATTGCTGGTCTAGATTAGATTAATCACATTGCATTCCATTCTTTATATATCAGTAACATCAAGCATAAACATTAAACTTAAACAGATTCTTAATCATTATTAAAACAGATAAATGATTTATGCTATATTCAAATGTAAATATGATTGAATATATTCAACACACTGCATAAAAATATTGGAGCTAGGTGGGTAAATGAAATATATTTTCCTGTTTCTCTTATCCCGGTCGACTCCAAGCTCAGTAAGTTAATGTTTATTTTTTATAGAATGACTTATTTTGAATAATGAGTATACAACCTTTCTGTTGTGTGTTTTCACAACTTAAAATTAGTTTTATTCATTTTATTTATTTATTTTAACACATATATATTGGCACAAGGAGGCACCAAATTCATATGCACCACACAAATCTCATTCGATGTGTTTGAGGGCTGTGATACTGCCCGGGTGCCCAAACCGAAGCAGGTGGTTTTCTTAGGGGCCCACACCCAGAGCCTTCGACCCACAGGTCTGATCCACAAGTCAGTGGAGCATCGTAAGGAGATGCAGTCCCATGGTAGCCAGTGACCAACGATTGGTTCATACGCCATTCGTTCACTCAGGATAGTGGAGCCCATGTGCACCTTTGGTTTGGAATCAGGGTTTTCCAACTCCCTTAGGTGGACTCTTCATGTCCACCAACCCGGTTAAAGCGCCGGACATTCGCTTTTTGTCCTCTCAATTTCGTAAACAACAGTAATGCCACGAGAAGGCAATGAGTAGGACTTCCCTGGTAGAGGTTATATATGCGTGTCCATGTGAGAGCATTTGGAGAGGGATAGCAGACTTTCCCCACTCTCGGCCGTACCAGGGCATTTGGGGGCATTGTAGTCATTATTACTTCTATTTATTTTTGTATTATCTTCATCGTTATTATTGTAATTATAGTTAACAATTTAAGATTGTCATTAGTCTTTCAAACACACCAATAGTTTAGTTGTGCAGACGATTTGTCGACATTGTTACACTGTTAAAGTTAACATAAAATCTTGATATTGTTTTTGCAACCATTTCAAACCAGAAAGTAGTTGACGGCTGTTCCGTTCTATGTATGAGACACCTTGGCAATGTCCTTCTAAAACCCCACCAGGAATCAAATCCATGACTTTCAGTCTCAAATGCGAACGGTTAACTTATAGAACACCAAGCCGGCATCCAATGATGCTAATGTCCAACTTCCATCGATTCACGATAATTAGTTATCCTTATCCGTTACCTGTAGTGGATAACTATCTTACATATCATATTGTTGTACTCCACTGGTCACTGATTCTCACTAGGTGGATGAGAAATTTTGGGAAGTCTAATATTAGAACGGAAAAGTTTTCAGTGGTTGTCTAGCTAAGATCAATTTTCGGAGTAAACTATAAAAGTTCAAAAGTCTCAACAAACCCCTTTTACTTATAATAATCGTGTTCAAACGTGCCTAATCTCACCAAGTAATATCAGGGATTCTAGTGAAAATCCGTGACTAGTGGAGTTCATTTACGTCGGAGATAGTTATCAACTACAGACCATAGGAAACGGTCTCTCAATATTAAAGATGATTTATTTTCAACATTCACTCCACCTTGATATTTCTTACTGAATTCTTATCAATCCATACATTACGTAGATTTTAACAAACATTTGATTACATTTTTATAATCAAAATAACAATATTTTATTAACATTTAATTTTATCATTAATCTCACAACATTATTTGACGTATAATCTTATCCAAGTTAACGCTAGATATTAGTTATTTCATCATAAACAATCTTTTTTATTTTATAAACAATCCTAAATTGACGTGATGCACTTTTAAAAGATGTATTTGTCATAGACTCAGCCATTCTTATTGATCATTTGTCTAGATATAGAACTGTAGAAACTTGATGATGGTTGATTAAAAAACTGACTTCTCAAAATACCTACTACTTGTAGACACTTCAAGAAGCATATTCATCTCAGATATTTACTTTGTGTGAAAAACTTTGTAGTAATTATTTCAGCATATTTCACCTATATGACTGTTAATCTACATATCACATTATTGCAAATACATAATTATTTACAGATGTCTATCTTCCTTTTTACAATATGACCAGTTACACAAACTAAACAACAAACTACCTTTCAACCAGTATCTAAATAAAAAGCTTTTTCACAGTATATGGATAATCGATTATGAATTTCAAGAGATGAATTTATCATTCCATTGCTAGTCAAACTTCTTTACAAATCTAGGTTTGTTCATAAGTTGAATTTATGTGTATAGTGTCCTTAATTAAAGCTGGAATAACAGTTAAATCTTAAGCTGTATATATTTCGACAGAATAACAGGGCTTCATTCTTTGAATATTAATTATAGAGTCAAAGTCAAATATATGCTAAAAGTCTATCGAAAACAATATCAAAATGAATTAACAAGTTACTTAAAAATGACTTTATGAAAAAAGGAATATGAAAATATGAAAACTCTTACCTTCACCCCATCCTGTAACTCCTATTTCTGGAGCAGGACACACTCTGGTAAGATGTTCTTGACAAATATCTTTATTGTGAATTACGACAGGACAATTTCTGCAATACAAATAAGAGTGACCATGAACTGAATGTAGACAGAATTCGCACAGATCTCGAAGTCGTGAACAAGTAGCACGTACAAAAACATGTCCTTTTAAAATAACTTCAAAAACTTTATCACCAGTTTTATGATGATTATTGCTTCCTTTACGTAAATGTGCTCGATTATGCGAAAGACTACCAGCACTGGAGTATTCAAATCGATGATTTGTCTCATGTTGTCGAGATAGATGTTTTTGACTAGCATTCGATATTAAATGACCTAACGCAGTACTAGATATATGCTGCTTGAAGGAACTCAACGACCGTCTTTGAGAATGATCTGGGCCATGATGATGTAAAAAATAACGACTTCTACTTTTCCCATCATCATTTGCATTACGATGAATAGACGCATTTGATGTAGATCCAAGTTCTGACATTGTTATTTCTTATGAAACCAGTTAATTCATGTATTTTTAGTCAAAATACTGTAGTGTAATGATAATTTTAAAAATCCAACAAAATAATAGTTAAAGATTTTCAATTAACTTTAAGAAAAGTTCTAAAGATTTCTAGTAAGCTCCATGTTAATTTAACCAATTATATACAAGATCATTGAGCACTTATTGACCAATCCAATCAAGGATTTGTTTTGTCTGTAAACAAGTTTAATAACGAAAAGTATTATTCAATTAATTACGTCGTAATTTATTTCGTAATGTGACAACTTTCTTACGTAATAACTATCACGCTATATTTAGTTAAAGCAGTTTTAAATTGAAAGAAATAAAAAGATAGTTTTGATTCAATGTGTTTTAAAACATAGAAAGAAACCCATTGAGTCATTAGACAAAATAATGACGTTTCAGTGAAGAAAATTTTCGTTTCCAATGATATCACTTAACGAAATTGTACAATCATATATCTATTTTGTCTATATATAGTGGTTTATAATAAAAAACAAAGAATCATTGTATCATTGACAGAAGTTCTCAAAGTAAATCAAGATTTAAAGTTATAAAGTAATCAATGTATGATACGTATGAAATACGTACAAAATGTGAAAGATCATTCGCTTGACGATCATAAGCAAGAGTTCATCAAAGAATAGATAAATAGGGTAATACACCAACATTATTGATAGTTTTAATGGAGTTTTCTCAGTAATTTGCAATCATTTATAATTCACTAATAAGGTCAGAGATATATGAGGTGAATATATATATATATATATATATATATATATATATATATATATATATATATATATATATATATATATATTTAATTGATCACTTAATGCAAAGTAAGACCTTTTGATTGTGACAAATGTCCAAAAGTAAGAAAAGATAGTTTTTATCGTCTTGTGTTTTTATTACATAAAAAGGGAAGTAGATTATTCAAGGTTTAATGAAAAACGTTTCGTATGATTTGAATAGTCACTATGTTCCAGATCAGTAAAGAATATTCTGAACAAAATATGAAGTATTTTAAAGAAAAATTCTATTTTATTTTCGAGTAACTAGTGAAAATTCGAAATTGTGATTATCTTCTTTGATTTTCTACGAACAATTTAGCTTCTACAACAATCTTTTGGTAATGTGATATAATTAATCCTCTATAGCCATTCTAAAAAAAGAAAATAAACCAACCATTTTTACATTTGGTTGTACGGTTTTATTCTGTATGAGCTTAACGTATAGAACTAATGAGGTGAAGCAAATCAATAACTGAATACTTTGCTGGATTATTTGCAAAACTGGAAAACAAATGGTCCAGACAAATGAATAGACAATCTGATTGAGATTATGAACTGATTGATGTTAGACCACCATTGAAAACCTGGATGCTCTGGACGGCCATTTCGTCCTATTGTGGAACTCCTCAGCAGTGCGTATCCATGATCCTGCTTCACGAGATTTCAACCTAAAGCCTTCAGTCTCGCGCGCGAACGCCTAACCTCTAGACCACTGACAATCGTTTTCAAAAATACTTACAATAATTAAGTAAAAACAAAATGAGGATGATTCGGTTTCAATTTAACCAGAAAAATCAGTCTTAATATCTTGATCATAAACACTTATCTCTGTGGAGAACCATATTTCTCATCAAGATTCACATGTACACAAATTAGTAGGATTTATTAGATATCATGCAATGATTTGTAGATATTAATCAACTGTTTAGACTGGTCCGATAATTTTTTTCCAATAAATGACACCATATTGTAACGAACCACAAATTTACAATCTTTTTAAAAATCCATGCAAATGGAATATTTTTTTTCTTAAAAATTGAGCTAATTTCAATAAACATCAGACTATTGACTACATGAAATAAATTACTAGTCGTTCTAAGGATAATATTTGAACTTTTTCCATTTCATATTTATATAGTTAATTATAAAACATTGACTCAAACCGGTTGTTACTATACAGTAATAATATAATGTTTGGATTCTTTTCATTACAATAACTCTGTTAAAGATCGATCAATATATAAATGATTAAAACTATAGAATAAACACTTTTTTAAAAAATTAATCAACACCTCTTGGAATTTATTAAATTAACAGATCCATTAAAATTATAGAGTGAAACTAGTAAATTTTGTTGATTTAATCAGAGTACAATGTAGTAAAAGAAAAAATAGGTCATTAGTAACAAAATATGACATAGAAACTAAATTTACTCTCAATTATTACTGTTAATTTTTCTTTTAAGAGAAAAATCTAGTCGTTATATTAAAATATAACTAGAATTTCACTAGGTTACTAATCACTGATCTGAATAAAAGATTTAGAAATGTAGTTGATTAAACCAATAGTTTAAGTTTGAATTGAATGTAAATGTTATCAGTCTGTTTTCCTTTTCTTTTTTTTCCTTTTTTCTCTTCTTTTTTTTAACATCGTTGAGTCAATAACCAGTGTTGTATACAAATTAGTTTCCGTAAATGAATTTTTTTAAATAGAACAAGAACAAAGATTGGTGCAGAATAATATAAATTCATTTTATTTCGTTAGGTTCTCATCAGCTGCTTACAACCAAAAATATTTAAAATTCAATATTATTACAGATATTGAATTACTTATACATAAGAGGGTGATTATATATGAATAAATGTATCATGGTGTAGCGAAGATTCCGGTAGAGTTAATGAGGTTATAAAATTTTGTCTCGAATAAATAAAGTCTGAGAGAGAAAGTTCTGAAACATTGAAATAATGATTAGAACTCATCAAAATTGATTAATTTGCCGAAGCATTAACAATCAAACGTCTAAAACCAGACCTATGTATACAAAAAGAGACAGTAATAAATCTTCCTTTACCCTGGCTACAATAACCCTCCATTTTATTTATTTATTTCTATTTATTTATTTATTGCGTCATTATTGCAACTCTTTCTGAAGTTTAAATTACATCATACATAACTGGCTGATTTCAATTCATATTTTCTTTATTACCATTAATCTATTTTCATGATTTCTAATCACTATTTCCATGTTCTGGAACCTTCCCTCCTAAACAACATTTTATGACCTCATTAACAAAATCTTTGCTACATCATGTTACATATATTCATCCTTCATTACCCTCTGATGTATAAGTATGTCAATATCTATAATAACGTTGAATTTTAAATATTTTTGGTTGTAAGCAGCTGATGAGAACCTAACGAAATAAAATGAATTTATATTGTTCTGCACCAATCTATGTTCCACAATAGGACGAAACAACCGTTCAGTGCTTTCAGGTTTTTCATGGTGGTCGAGTTTCAATTGACTCATGAATTCAACTATTAAATTAATAGACAAATGATGTGAAAACAATTTGAAACCATGTCACTCTGGATAATAAGCTAATAGTACCAGAGTGATGACGTTTCAAATTGTTGTCACATTATTTCTTTATTATCCTTGTTTCCTTTTACCCTCCATTTCTAGTCTAGTTGGCCGTGTACTTACATATATAAATGTTTTAACAAGTATATGTGTGATTAAATAGTTCGAAATGTATTGCGCCGATATGTCACATGGTTCTGATAATCTTCGCTTTCATTTAAGATTGACGTGACTTATAATGATTACATGAATGGATCATAAGAAGTTTAGTACAGGTCAAAGTTGTGCGAATTAACAAAATACGACGATATAATGACATTTCGAATCGCAAAATAGTATGTAATTAAATGTATGCTTCAATAAAATATCCTTCTTATATTTGGTATCACAGTTTTGTTAATGAATTTATTTTCTAAAGTGAGATAAAAGTGTAAAATACAAATTTGGTGGAAACTTTCAAATAGAAAATGAAAATAAATAATCTGTTTCTTTGTTCATTTAGTGGAACCCTGCTATATAAGTTGGTTAGCTGACCATTTCATGGTTCCTTTTTATAAAAGAACTTTTTTTTAGAAATCCATCATTACATCTTGTCAAAAGCACATCAAGAAATAAATTGGAATAGCGTGCTTCATTTCGGAATGTGAAATCTATGGAACTATAAAAAAATGCTGAAAGTAAAATCTCAACTAATTGAATATACTCGTAAAAAGCATCAAATGTGTCGTTCATATGTACTTTGTATAGGTTAAATCACTCGATAACAAAAATAAGATGATCGTTTTGAAGCTTAGGCTTGAAACAACTTGCTAGGATCACGCTTAAGATCCCAATCATCGTTGCCTATATAGTTGATTACTAAAACAGAACTGTATGTTCCAAGTACAATAAAACAATATTTCTTTCAATTAGTTAATTTACAAGCCCACATCTATATCATGAAAGTCAGTATAGTTACACATGTAACGTATGGCTTCAGTTTCTTAACTTACATATTAGTATAGAGCCTTAGCTAAGGATCGACTGAAAGAATCAATCATTGTCTAACTTAAGTTGTTACGTGACATGTAACTTAATAAACGACAATCTCCACAACTCTCGGTACTAGAAAGCCATCTCAAATTTACGAAAGACTAATATCGAGATATAATTCCCGGAGTTATAATGAGAAATCATCATCATTGAAGTTTAATTATATCAAGAGCAAGGCAATTACTTATTAAAGGAATATGTTCAACCGACTGAAGTTAAAAATATAAACTATTGGATGCTAAGTCTTATTCACTTCTTGTTCCTGTTCAACTTTAAATGTCGAACTGAATGATAATAGCGAATTAAACAAATCAATAGGCTACTAAAAGTAACCAATAAACTTTACTTTCGAACCGCATTTAAAAGTTGTTTATTGATATTAAATTTTTCTAAAGGTAATCTAATATGCATTATGTATGAAGACTATTTGAGATGACTATAGAGAGACTTCCAATGATGTAAGTAAACTTTTGATTTTTATTGTCTCCTTCATTTTTATTAGTAGGTTTTATTTTTCATTAGATTATAATTGCTATTTATTGTTGATAAAATCAGGGTAGTCGATCTCACTTCATTGATAAACTTCACTAGTTTTGGTAAACATTGTTTGACCAAAACATTAATAGTTTAAATATTTTTTAACCAACTGAGAGAGGCGGTCAGTGTTCCAAACTCAAGCTTATATCTTTATGCTATATGAAAAATTGAAATTTCGCAAATATTTGATTATACCTTTTGAACTTCTGTAT